GATGCAGCAAAAGCAGGAAAATATAGAGGAAAATATAAAGCAATACAGGCTCATATCAACAAACAAGAAAGAACTCAAAGAAACAACCTAACTTCACATCTCAAAGATCTAGAACAAGAACAACAATAAAACCCCTACAGCCAGTAGAAGAAAGGAAAGAAAGTTTGTTCAATAAATGGTGCTGGGAAAACTGGGTGGCTACATGCAAAAGAATGAAGCTTGACTACTACCTCACACCATGCACAAAAACCAACTCAAAATGGATGAAAGAACTAGACATAAGACCTGAAACCATAAAATATAGGTGAAACACTACATGATATGCACCTCAAAGACATCTTTACAGACACATCGCCCAAAGCAGTGATAGTGAAGGCAAAGATAAACAGCTGGGACTACATTAAATTAGAGAGCTTTTGCACAGCAGAACAGACAGTAAACAAAACAAAGAGAAACCCCACCAACTGGGAGAAATTTTTTTCACAAAACACTAACGATAAAGGATTGATCACAAAAATCTACAAAGAGCTGGCGAGACTCAACAAAAACAAAGAAAATAATCCAGTCAAAAAATGGGCAGAAGAGCTAAAAAGAAACTTCTTGAAAGAGGAAATACAAATGGCCAACAGGCATATGGAAAAATGTTCAACATCACTTGTAATCAGGGAAATGCAAATCAAAACTACAACGAGATACCATCTCACACCAGTGAGAGTGGCTCATATTTAAAAAACTAGCAACAACCAATGTTGGCGAGGGTGTGGAGAAAAAGGAACTCTCCTGCACTGCTGGTGGGAGTGCAAACTGGTCCAACCACTATGGAGAGCTGTGTGGAGATTTCTGGACCTACTAAAGATAGAGCTGCCATATGATCCAGCAATCACTCCTAGGTATTTACCCAAAGGACACAGAAACATTAATGCCAAAGAGCACCTGCACCCCTATGTTTATAGCAGCACAATTTACAATAGCTAAGCTTTGGAAACAACCCAAATGCCCCAAAATAGATGACTGGATCAAGAAGATGTGGTACATATACACCATAGAATATTACTCAGCATTCAAAAAATATAAACACATGCAATTTGCAGCAACGTGGATGGAGCTGGAAGGGATCATGCTCAGTGAAATAAGCCAGAAAGAAAAAGAAAAATACTGGATGGTCTCACTCATAACAGAAATCTAGAAAACCTAAATAAGGGACCAGGAAAAAGAATAACTGTAAGAAAGAAAAAATCAAAATCAACAAACAACTCTGAACCAGAGACACACTATGGGGGGTGGGGGCAGGGAAAAGAGAGATTGGGGTCAAAATAAGGGGGTTGCAATTGTATGGGGAATATAAAAATAAAATAAAAAAAAAGTTAAATGTTCTTTCCTAGGAAGTCAGATTCAATAGAAACACAATTAAAAACCATGTTGATTTCATTTGAATGAATAGGGAATGTTATTAAGGAACAATTCCACCCAATAGCATAAAATGTAGATAATTTCACAGGAAACTGCAACAAAATCTCAGAGCTCACACTGGTCCAGTTTTCTTCATTTCATGGGTTTTATTCCCATAAAATAAAAAATCAACATCTTTTCAAAGCAGTTATAACAGTGGTAAGTATGCCTAAGGAGCAATTTACACAGAAAAGCATTATTAATAGACAAATAATGTTAATTATCGATGCAAAAGGTTTAATACACATGTTATAAAAGGTTTCAATAACAGATTAATAAATCAATGAGCCATCACATGTATGAGTCATTTCAATGATACAAAGACTCGTAAAGATGGAGACTCAACACAGTTGCTTAGCAGGCTCCTCACGAAGGAGGAAGAAAGATCCAATTATCCTCCTAGGACCTTCACCTGAACCCGGAATCCAGGCCCTGTGCCGTGAGTGAAGAGGGAGCAGAGGAGAGAGCTCCAGGCCATGGTGGAGATGTGCCCAGAGCTCTGACCATGTCCCCCAGCTGGGACAGGGACCCTCATCTCTCCCTTTCCTCCCCTCACGGATGACACAGGGGCCCTTCATTCTGTGCATCCCACCTGTTTTCCCCTTGTGAACCAGGCTCAATCCCTTCTGCCCTGGAGCCAGACGAGGCCTTGGCTTGTCTGATTTGGCTCACTTGGGCCTTGGAGAAAGGAACCGCCAGGCCCTGCAAGCACTGAACTTCTTCCCAGGGCCCTTTTCTTGACCCATATCTGGTCATCTGGGCTGTAAGAGAAGGGCAAAGGACTAGGGGTGCACAGCACACGGTGCTCACAGCACTCTGCTCTCCACAGTGGGGCTGGCTGCACCAGGCCTCCTAGTCTTCTCCTCTCTGCCACAAGGTGGCTGTCCATGCAAATGGCTTAGACCCCTCTGGCATAGTTACTGGTGGTGATGCCCCAGCCCTGCAGCCACAGGGGAGGGTGGTCAAAGAAGGATTTCTGGTCAAAGAAGTTTCCTGAATTACCGCAGTCTGACATGTAGCCCTTGAAAACTGATGGGATTCCAAGGTCAGGAGAGAAGACAGGTCGTGGAAGGGCAGTTTGGCTTTTCCCACCCAGCCCAGGAACATCCCCACCCAACCCCGCCCCGGCTATTCCTGTGCAGTAGCCAGGAGTGTGAGCATGCAGGATTGTGAACGTGAGAGGAGCCCAGGTCATGGTGCAGTCACCCCAGGGCTAGGCTGTCCCCGACCCCACAGCACACAGCAGCCTCCAGGCTTTCATTAGCCCTCCTGCTCCTGGGCGGGGGGGCTGGTGTGCAAATGTTCTCCCCCCACGACACAGTATGTGCCAACTCACAGCTTCTGGTTGGTCCACATCGGAGACGTGTGGTGGGACCCACACATGGGGTCCATGTCAGGGCTGGGGTGACATTTCAGGGCTGAGCTTTCCCAGGTCTCTGCACACAGTGCCCTCTCATGGCCATGGGAGCATCCCTGATGGAAGGAGGCTCCTTGAAGTCCCTCCCCAGCCCCTCTCCCTCTGCTCCTGGGGTCTGGTGCTCTGAGTTCTCTGTTCAGGGAGAGACAGGGCCTGCAGATCCACACAGAAGCCATAAGAAGGAATTTGGGGTTCAGGGTGGAGTGTAGCACTTTTCTCCTTCGTAACGCCACTGATGCACCAGAGCGTGTCTGCTGAGTGAGAGCTGGGTCTTGGCTCTATGGCTCCTTATCCCTTCCCCAGCGTCCACCTTGACCTGCAGCCTCATCACCTGGTTGCTGCTTGAGCTCGAGCGGCCTCCAGGCTTCCCCGGTTTCTGGGTCTCTGCCCCAGACTCTGCGGCCATCCCTGTACTCTCCCTCTTTAGGATCGAAAAATGCTTCACGTTGTTAAAGTTGCTGTTCATTGGTTTATTTTGTCTTCTGTCTCATGAAAGGCACCCCTGTGTCCCCTGGTGTGAAGGCCCATGTGACTCCAGCGTCAGAGTTGCACACCTTACACACCCCACTCCTGGGTCTCTGGGCACCTGGCAGTAGGTCAGAACTGTTGCTCAGGATATTTTCTGTCTGGTCCTGATACAGCACAAGTGTCATCCATGTGGCTGGGATCTCCTGCAGAGGGAAAGTCAGCTTCCTGAACATCCTGACACTGAGGACCTCTCTGGGGGCAGAGGAGGAGCCCTGATTTCTGGAGGCACAGAGGCAACTCCCAGACTCCTCTGCCCATGACAATGTATGCTGAGAAAGAAGAGAATGGGGTGTGTGTGTGTGTGTGTGTGTGTGTGTGTGTGTGTGTGTGACCTGACGAGGCTGAGGGGCCCCTGACCCACTCTGCTCTCTCCACACCCTGAGCTGTTTGCTCCATGAAATCCTCCCTGGAAGCTGACTAGCTCCAAGGCCCTCCCTTGTCCTGGGTGCTGGAGTAAAGGACGAGAGTCTTGAAGACACTAACCTTGGAGCAGGATGTGTTGTAGGTAGTGAGGACTCATGTGAGAGGACAGCACCTCTGTTACCAGAATCAGAAGTTCATATTTTCAGGAATAAGAAAAATCTGTCCATTTTCTTACTTTTTTCCCCGAGGCACAGGACCCACAGCCGCGGGCTTCAGATCTCAGGAAGCACTGTGGGGAGGTGCGGGGGTGTTTGAGCACACAGCCGCCTTCCTCCTGCCCCTGACCCACAACCAGGCCTGTGGTCCACCAGTATTTCCCTCTGTGTGAGGAAGAAATTTCCATCCTGGGGGAATGTTGCTGTTGTGGAGGCGCTGTCCTGAGAGGGCTTAGGAAAAGGGGATTATGGGGCTGAGGCATATAATGGTGCTTCCTAAAATAGGCAGCAGCCCTTGCTCTGAGGTTCACTACAACTCCTGTGACACCAGTTAAATTAAATGGAGAAAATAGTTAAATTAGCACATTTAATATGCCCATACTCAAGGATGCATGAACAGATTATTTGCAGCAAAATTAGTACTTTCATTATCATGCTAAAGAGATTGGTTGAGAGTGGCAGGAGCAGCGAGCCAGTGAGTGGGATGATCAGGAACAGGAAGATGAGGTTTTGCTTAGAGGGTCTGGTCTCTGGGAACTCTCCTCCTGGAGACAAGACTCTTGGGGATGGAAAGACCAGCAAGAACACACTCACTTTCCTCCAAACCCTCACGTGAGAGGGAGTGAGTCCCGAAGACCACAGGAGAGGGTGAGGGCCTGACCATCGCCCATAGTATTTGTAGCCTCAGCCCAGGGGCTCACCCCTGTCCCCAGGTCTAGCCCCTTCCTGACTTCACACTGAAGGTCAGGTGCCTGCGGGGGCGGGGGGGTGATTAGCTCTGGGCTGGGGTTCCTCCCTGACAGGGAGGCACCTCCTGCCTCATGACTCACCCTGGGACAATGTACAGGCAGCTCTGAGCACTGAGCTGGGGGGGGAGGGGCTCTGCTCTGAGCGCTGGGCAGCAGCGTCCATGCTGTGGGGACGCTCCACCTGCCGTGGTCCTGGGCTCGACCAAGAAGCTCAGAAAGGCAGAGGCCTATTTAAAAGAAGAGTAAAAAAGACAAAACAAAACAAACAAAAAGCCCAGATCGTTTTATTCAGAATTTTTAAACCCTGAACGAGGCAAGATTTCTGTATCATCACGGCACTGTTGTTTCTGTGTTTCCTGAGAGTTCAGACACACTGAACAGAAAACTGGCAGGACAGACACTGGGGCATGGAAGCTCCTCTAAGTACAATGAGTGTGTTGAGGTAATTTGAAACTGGAGAGGGTCGAGGACTCGGTCCCTGAGCAGGCTGAGGTTTCTGTCCCACTTCCCCATCTGTGTGGGTCACAGGGAGAAGCACCGCTGTGCTTGATCTGACAGTAGTAGTCGGCCTCGTCCTCAGGCTGCGGCCCAGAGACGAGCAGGAGGCCTGCATTGGCGGAGGCGTCTTTGGCTCCAGAGAAGCGGCTGGGGACCCCGGGGCCCTGGTGTTTACCTGAGTCTGAGTAGTAGCACAGGAGGTACTGGGGAGGGCTCCCTGGCTTCTGCTGGTACCAGTGTATGGCATAGCTGCCAACACTGAATCCACTGCTCAGGGTGCAGATGTGTCTGGTTCCAGGAGAAGCAGAGAGGACGGGCGGCTGAGTCAGCACAGGCTGGGAGAGGGAACCTGCAGACACAGACACATCAGAATGAACTGGACAAACAAGGTGCAGCTGCTGGTGTAGTAGAAGTACAAGAAATTGATTCAGATTAGGGACACCTGGGTGTCTGAGGCCTGCCCCCACCTGTGCATTGAAAGAGGAGCAGGAGGAGCAGAGGAGTCCAGGCCATGGTGCTCACAGACCCCTGGGCCCCACGTGGGGCTGGGCTGCCCCAGGCCTCCTTTTCTCCCCACCCTGGGCCACAGGAGGGGCTGTGCATGCAAATGTGTTTCAAGCTGGGCCTGCCCAGCCCCTCCCTGAGTCCTGGTGCTGGAGCTCAGCTCACACTTCACATTGAGAAGGAAGCATATTTGCTTCTCCTCTTGAGGAAGTCCTTGTGGAAAACAACTGTACCTGGACTACCCCAGGCCAGACAGGGCACCGCGGGTGAATCCCATCAGGAAGCCCAAACACAGCCACCAGCACCAGTCTTCTCTGAGTGAATGGCCCTCACTCTACAGTTGTGTGGAGCCTTCACAATAGTCCCACATACTCACCTGCTGGTCACAGGCACACACTCCTCATGGCCTGAGGCCAGCTGGGGTCTGCAGTCACCAGGTCACTGACTCTAGTCACACACCCAGCTCTGATCCCCAAGTGCTGTAGTTGCAGAATAATGTACTGATTACTGTAGGCTCTGCTTCCCAGAGTCCTGCACATGGAGCTACAAGCATGTACACTACAACTCTTTTGTTACAGTATACAAGATTATTCATCCCAAAGTGCAAAAAGTCAGGTATCACAGAGGATGGTCAATGAAGCTGTGAAGGCCATTAGAGGATGCTCAGGTAGGTAGCACAGAATGGGGGTTTCCAAGAATAAACTCCATGGGATACAGTGCATAATTCGGCAAATATATCAAATGTCATGTGTAGAGTAAGTGATTTTCAGGCTTTTCTGAATCCTCTCATGTCTGTGGTGGAAAAACACATTCCATCTTAATTGAGGAAAGTAAAGGTTATTTTCATGAGTAAATGGCAATTGAACTTTTGTACTCGTGCTGATGTACTTTTAAAAAATCACAATAAAATATTTTTAAGATTCAAAAAAACAAAATGTATGATGAAGAACAGAGCTATTCACATTGTCTCAAAGTACTTCCCCATGAAATACTATTTAAATTATAAAGTGGCATTACAGAGGAGAATCTCAGCAGATACTACCTTCACTGACCAATGCTGACATCACCATTGGGTGACATACAAAAATTGTCGGTCCTATGATGGGCTGCAATACTTCTTTAATACTCTTGCTAAAAATGTACGATCTGAATCTCACCATAAAGACACATAAGAATCCATACTGAGGTACGTTCTACATTACTAGAATTTACTCTTCAAAGATTTAAGGCCAAGAAAGTCAAGAGAAGACTGAAGAACTGTTCCCAGTTGCAGGAGACTAAGAGACATGACAACTAAAGGCAATTTATGGATATGGACGGGATGTTTTTGTTTTTTGTTTTTGCTATGAAAGGTACTATGGATGAACAAAACTTGAAAATAATATGGGGATTAAATAACAGAATTACTAGTGTTAATTTTCTTATAGGAAAGGCTACATGTAGTTTTATAGAATGAACTGAGTTGCAGGAAATATACACTAAATGATCGGGGAGATAACATGTTACCAATTTACTCAAATGGTTCAGGGTCAAAAAAATATTTTTCTACTACAACTTGGAACTTTAATTTTAAGACTGTTTCCAAAAAGTAAACCTAAAGTAAAAAATAACAAGAACAGGAGAAAAGCAAGTCCCACTTTACCATGAGGGAAGATCTAGGAATCCATGTTTACATTACAATTATACAGACTCAGTTTTATGGCATTATAACAATTGTAAAACATCCAAATCCTGACAATAGTCTGTAGGGTAAGGAAAAATGTCAGGCTTTTCTGCCCTCCAGCCATCAGGATAGATGATGGATCCTTGAGGTCCTGAATGCATGCCTGATGGCGGGCACCTGCAATAGGGTGTGGGCATAGGTAGATGGGATTCACCTGGGCTAAGACTGGGCTTTTAAGGGTGGCGTCACAGGGATGCCAGCAGAAGCCGAAAGAGAAACAGAGAAGCCAAGAAGCCAAGAGAAGCAGAGAGAGAATGAGAGAAGGCCGGGGAACCCAGAGAGAGTGAAGACTTGCTGGGGGCTGGGAGGCCTGCCAGCCTCCCGGCTCCCCAGCAACCCTGCCTGCCTTGTACCTGGTAAATCTAAATAAAAAACCTGCAAGAGCCTCTGAGGACTCGGACTCCTCCTTTACCCGGTCTGCATGAGATCAGAAAACCTGCTCAGTGGTCCTTCCAGCCCCTACAATTGGCGTAAGTCCGCAAGATGATCCCTGCAGACGGGTATGGAGCCCTCCAAAGACCTGGAGGGACTAAGGAGTAACAGACTGTGTTTGCTTGTGACGACGCTGGAGGCGTCATGGTGGCACAGCAGATGGACAAGGTCTGGGAGCTGCAGGACGAGACCTCGCGTGGAGGAGATGCCCGAGAGGACCAGCCAACGACCCCTGAGGCATGCTGGGGAAGAGAGGACCATGATTTGGAACTCACCAGTGCTGATGCAGGGAGAGGCCAATGGACTTGGACTGATGGACTTGGACTGACAATCCCGCCAGAAGACGGAGGATCTTTGGCAAGTTAAGTTTTGGGGATCATGGGGGAGGGTACTATTGTTTGTTGTAGGGTAAAGAAAATATCAGGCTTTTCTGCCCTTCCGCCATCAGGATAGATGATGGATCCTTGTCCTGAATGCATGCCTGATGGTGGGCACCTGGAATAGGGTGTGGGCATAGGTAGATGGGATTCAGCTGAGCTAAGACTGTGCTTTTTAAGGGCGGCGTCACGGGGGGACGCTAGCAGCACCAGCAGCAGCACCAGCACCAGCAGCAGCAGCCGCCGCAGCCGAAGCCGAAGCCGAGAAGCAGCAGAACGAACGCTAGAGAGCCCAGATAGAGTGAGGACTTGCTGGGGGCTGGGAGGCCTGCCAGCCCCCCAGCCCCCCAGCCAGCACCCCTGCCTGCCATATGCCTGGTGAACCCCAAATAAAGGACCTGCGAAACTACTGAGGACTCTGACTCCTCCTTTGCCCGATCTGCATGGGATCAGAAAACCTGCACTGTATCCAGTCCTGCCCCTTTACAATTGGCGTATGTCGGCAAGATCCATGCAGACGGGTATTGGAGCCCTCCGAAGACCTGGAGGGACTAAGGAGAACAGACTTTGCCTGTGACGACGCTGGAGGCACCATGGCGGTATAGAAGATGGATACGTCCACGAGCTACAGGATGAGACCTGGCGTGAAGGAGACGCCCGAAAGGACCAGCCAACGACACCGGAAAGGACCAGCCAACGACACCGGAAAGGACCAGCCAACGACACCGGATAGGACCAGCCAACGACACCGGAAAGGACCAGCCAATGACCCCTGAGGCAGCAGGCCATTGCTGAAGCAGGGAGAGGCCAATGGACTGATAGACTGATGAACTGATGATTTTGGACTGACAATCCTGCCAGAAGGCGGAGGACCTTAGCAGGTTATGTTTATTTTTTGAGAATCTGGGGGTGGCCGGTGGGCCTGGATGGCCAGGGGCAGCCTGTGTGCCCAGTGGCCAGGTGGAGGAGAAAAGCCAACTAAGGTGGCAAAAGCTGGTACTGATGCTAAGTTGAGAAGCCCTAAAGCGGCTGTTAAGCAGCCTGGGTATGCTGAAGCCCTGTGAGTCTCGTAAAATCACCTATGGGTGATGCCCTGCTCATTCTTGAGTGAGGGTGAGGAGCTGAGGAGCCCGTCCTTGTGGGACGGGTGGGGAATGTGGCTTGGGGTGGAGCCCAAGCCAAATGCAAAGTTTGGATCCCCAACCCATGTGCTTGTGCAGTGGGTTGGCTTGAGAGCAGGGGTCTGTGAGTCGCATGGGTGGCTGTGAAGGCCGAGTGTTGGAGCGACTGCAGACAGAAACCCTGAGGGTTGGCGATTACCCCCAACAGAATAAAATTGCCAATCCCAGAGCTAGTGCATCCTGGGGGTGGATGCTGTGTGTGCCTTGTAGCCGAGACTACAGCCAGAGAAGGCCAGGAAGCCTGACGGCTCCTGGTGTGTTATAGCAGATGCCGTGTGTGATTTCCCCTCCCTCGTATGAGCAGTGCCTTCGGCAGCAGATTTGGTGGCTCATCTGCTGGTACCAATAATTGTCTTTTGCACTTGGTTGGTGCCCTGCCTGGACTTATTTGTGTTCTGTTGTATTTTGTTATGTTGTATTTTGTTATTTGATGTATTTGCTTTTGTGGGCCATGGCTGCATTGTTTGTTTGCTTAGAAAATTGTGTATATATGTATAGACTGTATGGCAGAAAACCCTGAGGGGGTGGACTGTAGGGTAAAGAAAATATCAGGCTTTTCTGCCCTTCCGCCATCAGGATAGATGATGGATCCTTGTCCTGAATGCATGCCTGATGGTGGGCACCTGGAATAGGGTGTGGGCATAGGTAGATGGGATTCAGCTGAGCTAAGACTGTGCTTTTAAGGGCGGCGTCACGGGGGGACGCTAGCAGCACCAGCAGCAGCACCAGCACCAGCAGCAGCAGCCGCCGCAGCCGAAGCCGAAGCCGAGAAGCAGCAGAACGAACGCTAGAGAGCCCAGATAGAGTGAGGACTTGCTGGGGGCTGGGAGGCCTGCCAGCCCCCCAGCCCCCCAGCCAGCACCCCTGCCTGCCATATGCCTGGTGAACCCCAAATAAAGGACCTGCGAAACTACTGAGGACTCTGACTCCTCCTTTGCCCGATCTGCATGGGATCAGAAAACCTGCCTTGTGCCCTGTCCTGCCCCTTACATTTGTACACCCCACAAAATGGGAATCTGGGCGTGGCCAGTGGGCCTTGATGGTTGAAAGCAGCCTGTGTGTGCCCAGCAGCTAGGCGGAGGAGAAAAGCCAACTGAGAAGGCAAAAGCTGGTGCTGATGCTGAGTTTGGGA